TGGGGTGGGAGAGCATGGAGGCGGAGCATGCAGTGTTAGCAAGATATGTGGATTGTGTTCATGCCATTTCCCACAAGTTTCAGCTGTCCAGGCTGGCAGGGGGGCAGAGAAATGGTGCCTGCCAGCTCTTTTGTTCTTGGAGAAGTCTCCTAAAGATTCTCCCTGCTGCTCCAGCACACATTCTGAGATTAGTAAATAAATCTACACCTCAGTAAATAAATCTGCCATATACCTCAGGCCCTTTCCAAATTGCTGCTTTTATGCTATATTGGGGGTTGGGTTAGGGTTGGGTTAAGGCTGGGTTATTTATTATGCTGGCTTTTTAAGGGTGGGGATTCAGTTTCCTATTGCCCTCTGGATCTCCTGGAGCCGAGCCCACTGATTTTTATAGTATTCAGAATTAAGCCCTGCTGATTATAAAAACTCATGAAATTGAGCCCCACCAGTTTTTAGAGCCAAATATCATGGTTACTCGTCTTCCCAGTTTGGGCCCCCCATGCCTGGGGTGCCTGATGTGGAGTCTGATGCTCTTGCTTCTCCATGCTTGTGATGTTCCTCCCGTTTGTGGTTAATCTCACCAGAGTGTTGGGTTCCCAACCATGTTTCTGCCCCTTCTACCCTTTTCAATGTGGCCTCCTCTCTGTGATTAACTGTGGAAAGTCTGTTCTGCCAGTCTTTGGGTCACTTTCTGTATTAGTTGCACTCATATGGCTGTTATCTCAGTGTTTCTGTGGGATTTAGTGAGCTCAGGATCCTCCAACTCTGCCATCTTCCCAGAACTCTACATCTCTTTATGTTGTGAATCTGTTACCAAATTATTTTAGCTATAACTGTTTTTAATAATTTTGCCCTTTAACATTTATACTAAAGGTAAGTGGCTAACATACCACCTTGTTACAATATTAACTTATTCAGAATCTCATCATATACTTACCTTTATTAGAGTGTTATGTATTTTCATGTTTTCTTTTTACTTATTAGAAGCCTTTTATTTCAGCTTAAAGAACTGTTTCAGGGGTGCCTGGGTGGCTCAGTTGGTTAAGCGACTGCCTTCGGCTCAGGTCGTGATCCTGGAGTCCCGGGATTGAGTCCCACATCGGGCTCCCTGCTCAGCGGGGAGTCTGCTTCTCCCTCTGACCCTCTCCCTTCTCATGCTCTCTCTCTATCTCATTCTCTCTCTCAAATAAATAAATAAAATCTTAAAAAAAAAAAAAGAACTGTTTCAGCATTTCTTGTAAGGAAATTCTAGTAGTGATAAACCCCCTCAAATTTTATTTGTTTGGGAAAGTCTTCATCTTGCCTTCATTTCCAAAGGAAAGATTTACTGGTAAAGTGTTCTTGGTTGACAATTTTTTCTTTTAGCCCTTTGAATATGTCATCTCACACTCTCCTGACCTGTAAGATTTCTGCTGAGAAATCAACTGTTCACCTAAGGGGGATTCCTTTGTATGAGAGGATTTTTTTTTCCCCCTGCTGCTTTAAAAATTCCCTTCTTAGCTTTGGTTTTAGACAGTTTTATTATAATGGTTGTGGAGAAGATCATTTTAGATTGAAATTTTGGGGTGACAGCTTATGAACTTGAATATCAAATATCAAATCTTTCCCTAGGTTTGGGAAGTTCTCAGCCATTTTATCTTTAAGTTTCTAAATTTCTCCTTTTCTCTTTGTAGGACCCCAGTGATGCATAGATTGTTTCTCTTGGTGGTATCCCATAAGTCTCACAGGCTTTGGTCATTCTTTTTTATTTTTTTATTTTTTTATTTTTTATTTTCTGAACTGGGTAATTGCAAATGATCTGCCTTTGAGTTCACTGATTCCTTCTTCTGTTTGATCCAGGCTTCTATTGGAGCTCTCCTGTAAATTCTTCAGTGTAGTCATTGTATTCCTTAGCTCCAAAATTTCTGTTGTTGTTTTTTTTTTTAATGTTTTCTATCTTTGAACTTCTCATTTGTTCTTCTATTGTTTTTCTGATTTCATTAAATTGTTGATCTTTGTTCTCTTGTAGCTCTCTGGGCATCTTTAGAACCATTGTTTTGAATTCCTTTTTAGGGTATTTATCTCCATTTTGGGGGATCCATTACTGGAATATACTGTGTTCCTCTGGTGGTGTCAAGATTCCCTGATTCTTCATGTTCCCTTTAGCCTCACATAAGTATCTACATATTTGAAGAAGCAGTCACCTCTTCCAAAGGGGTTGGAAGACTAACTTTGCTAAGGAAAACCTTCACCTTGAGGTAGAGTGTGCTATGACCCCAGGTCTCATGATGTAAGGCACCTCAGGGGCATGTGGCATCTTTGGGTTCAGGGAGGCATGATGTCTCATTAGCTCAGGCCACTGGAGTCCATAACATCAACAGCTGTGTGGTATCTGGCGAGTGCTGTGTAGTGTCCATAGTCACTGCAAGGGCTGTTAAGGTTCTAAGCAGCTCCTCCAGGTCCAGTGACTAGGGACCAGAGCAGGAAGTCACAGTGGCCCAAGCCAGTGGTGTGCACATACTCAGCTGTGGGGGCCTGCTGTAGTTTTCAGTGTATGGCCAGGGGTCCGTTTCAGACACACACATAGTATTGAGGGCAAGGGCCAGGCTGAATGCAGGCACACTAGCAGCTATAGGAGCCCTGACTGTCTATGTCTTGTGGCTGTGATGTCTCACCAGAAATGCAGGAACAGCAATGGAGGCCATTGATAGTAGATAGGGCCAGATCTGGGCTCACAAACAGCTTTGAGAGCCTTGGCCATTGGGATGTATTCCCATTGCTGCAGGGTCTTGGCACAGACATGCTCATGGTAGCAGAGCAAGTAATGGAAGTCGGGCTGGTGGGCCTCTAGGTGCACATTTGGAGAAGCTAGCCCCAAGCACCCACAAGGGGGTGGAGGTCAGCTGTGGGGTTCTGGGCTGCATCTTGCACTTGCACAGCTGCAGAGGCTGGGGCTAGCTGCCTATGTGGATCCCATTCTCTGGCAGGAGTGAGGGGAAGGGAATGGGAAGGGACACAGGCAGCTGGCATCTACAAATGCAAAAACCTGTGTGGTAAAAACTAGTGAAATCTGCAGGGGTCCCTGGTGACTATACTGATCAATCGTTTCTTCTGTGGTGAAAGCTGCCAGGTCCTCTCTAAAGAGCAGGTCACTGGGAACCCTGGTTGCTCCTACTGTGTGGCTGATACTGGTAACCCCTGCCCTTCTTCCTTGTTCCTAGTCATCTCTATACATCTCAGGTTTGCTGGTCCCTGGGTGGGGTGAAACAAAAAGCAGGTCCTTCATGCAATACCCAGAAAGACTGGGGAAGCTGGTCCCTCTCCCTGCGTTCCCTTTTCTGGAGAAGGGAATTCTCTAGCTGGTGAGTTCCCTCTTGGCATTGAGGAGTGCCAGCTCGGTAGATGGGGGGATATGGAAAAAATGAAGCATTCTTCCTTCCTCTTTTGTGCAGTTGTTCTCGGGTTTTTGTTCCACTATGTTGAAGTTTCTTAAGTTGACTCTTGAGCACTCCAGAACTGTTTGTTTGTAGATAGCTGTCTAATTGTTGATTTTTGTGGGGGCACAGAGGCTGGCTTCTCCTACTGCATCATCTTGGTGACATCAGCTTCTTCTATTTCTATGATGATCCTTTCCCAGTTTCTTTCTTTGGCTTTTTATGATCTGTCCTTACCTTAAATGTCAGCTCCATTCAGGTTTCTTTCCTTGACTCTCTTATTATACACTTCAGTCTGTGCACCAGTTCAAGGATGCCAAGCAAACTGATAAAGATCCAACAGAATGTTGCTAATCATCCATGGGAATCAAGGTTATTACTTTAACATCAGCTGATACTATCTCTCTACAAGGTTACTTTTTATAAGCTTTTTAGTATTAATACTAAATAAAACCTTTCTCATATTATCAGTACATTTCTCCTTTTACCTTTAGATATTCCTTTCCAGATAAGTAACTCAGTTTTCACTTCTGTTCTTATTTCCTGCACCTCTGACAAGTAGCATAACACAGGGCAGACATACCAGCCCTGGAGCTATGGATCTTTTTGATCAACTTAGTACTTTTTGAACTCCTAGCACATTTGCCTATCAAGATTTATAGTACTGGGGTGCCTGGGTGGCTCGGTCGGTTAAGCATCTGCCTTTGGCTCAGGTTATGATCCCAGGGTCCTGGGATCGAGCCCCACATCAGGCTCCCCCTGCTCTGTGGAGAGCCTGCTTCTCCCTCTCCCTCTGCCTGCCACTCCCCCTGCTTGTGAGCTCTCTCTCTCTCTCTCTGTCAAATAAAAAAAAATCTTAAAAAAAGATTTATAGTACTTATTTTCATTTTTTTTCTAAAATCAGATTGAACATATGAAATAGTGTTTTCCTTATATGGGTCTCAGACATTCACTGCATACATATTTACTGATTCCTGAAATATCTTCATTTGTTTTACATATAATAATGTACTGGGCACTGTGCAGCAATCAGCCAATAAAAGAACATAGTCCTGAGGCATTGACTTTTATAGATTATATGATAAAGAAAATATAGATATCTTTAAATGAAAAAAAAAATCACTTTCTAAAAAACATGCAACTTAACATACAAATGAATGTTGTCCCTTTCAGAAAATTTACATTGAAAGGCTGATTAATAAAGGATTTGCATTGCTAATTAATGAACTTGTATTTGACATAAATTACAGCATGGAAACACTACAGGTTTTCTTAGGCAAAATGATCATGTCACATTTTTAAAGATTAATACCCATGCAACTTTGGCTATATGAACTTGTAGTATTGTTAAGGCAGCATGCAGATTCAAGCCTCTCAGCCCTTTGACACATAATGACATGTGAGAATCAATAGTTATGTTTAATTATAGACATATGTAGCTTTTTTAACATTTAGTATTTATTTATATATCTGTAATAGAATACAAGGAGAATATTGAAGGACTTAAGAATATGTATATTGAAAGTGGAATATTCAAACTAATATTTAGTGTGCTGTTTACTAAAATATGATTCCTCTTTTTCCCAACAGAAATTTCTTTCACAATTTAACCCAGGTAAAACATTTTTTAAAAATTTGATATATCCTTCCTATATCACTACTATCTTATTTACCTCTCATCTTTCATGTTTCCCAGAAGGAGAATTTTCCAAAATAATTTTTCAACAAAATTTACTTAGAGTGCAGTGATATTTTAGATATGGTTTGAGGATCCCTAGAGCTCCACAGACCTTTTCAGGAGATCCATGAGGAGATCCTTTTCCAACCACATACCTGTGTGAGGGTAGATTTTCTCCATATGCTTCCACCAAAATAATATATACAAAACAGCTTGAATGTAAGAGCACAGATGATAATTCAGCTGTCTCTTATTAAGGCAGATATTAAAGACATTTTGTAATGTAAAATGTAAAACAATTTTTCTAATTTTTTTTGTTTTGGAAAATAGTTATTTTTCATAAAAATATATATCATGTTAACATTTATCAGTTTATTATAGTTTTTCAAATAAATTAATATCTTCAAATCTTCTCAGTTTTAATTTGTTACATGGTAACATGGTAAATATTGATAGATCTAACCCACATGAAACAAAAGCTCTGTGAGATTCTCAATAATTTTTAAGGCTATGAAGGGGTCTTGAGATCAAAAGGTTTTAACATCTGGTCCAGAGACTCTTAACTATAGGAAACAAACTGACGGTTGCTGGAAGGGAGGCAGATGGGGGGATGGGGTAATTGGTTGACAGGTATTAAGGAGGTGATGTGATGTGGGTGTGATGAAGGTGATGTGATGAGCACTAAGTGTTATACACAACTGATAAATTATTGAACTCTACATATGAAACTAATGATGTACTATATGTTGGCTAATTGAATTTAAATTAAAAAAAAAAATCTGGTCCAAGGATGGAAGATGGCAGTGGAGTAGGAGGACCCTAGGCTTGCCTCTTTCCATGAATACAACTAGATACTATCAAATTATTCTAAATGCACCAGAAGTTGACCTGAAGACTGGCAGAATAAACTCCAGAACTACAGGTAGAAAAGAAGCCACACTGAAGAAGGTAGGAAGTGCAGAGATGCAGTTTGGGAGAGAAACAGATCATGGCCACTGTGGATGGGAGGGAAGGGTGAGAGATAGACTAGCACACAGGAAAAATGAATCCCCATACCAGTTGGCTTGGAAAGTGAGAGGGGCTGAATTTTGTGAGTTCTTGCAACCAGTGGGGTTTAAAGCCTGGAGTTTTGAAAGTCAGTGAGCTTGACTGGGATACAGCCCAGGGGGTACTGCACTGCTCTTGGGGAGAAGTCAGGCAAACAACTAGCAGACATACAGCATGGAAACAGTGATTGGAAGAGAACCTGCAGCACACATTGGGAAGGTTACTCGCTCATTTGTGAGTCCCAGAGAGGCAGCATTCATGGAGAGACACCTCTGGGAACAAAGGAATTGGCCAGAACCATTTCCCTCCCCTGACCCTCAGCACAAGCACAGGGCTCCCTGCAGGAACCAGTGCAGTGCCGACATTCACTAACTAACTTGTGTATACCAAACCCAACCCCTGATACACACTCCAGGGGAACCACCCATTTGAACCATACTTGCCCAGTCCAGGTGCAGCAGGCCACCTCCCCTAGAAGACCGCCCAAACCCCTGCTCACACCAGACATCCCACTGTGGGAGTTTTGCAGAGCCTCTGTTCTGCCAGCAGAGGTAACAGATCTCATATCACAAACAGACCAAAGCACACTAGTTAAAACATGCCATGTTAAAGCCAGGGACCAAACACTGCCTACAATGAGCAAAGAGAGACTCTGCAGATAACTGGCCTGAAGGATAAAGCAGCCAGGACAAAACAGCAGAGTACATGCAGCACACATTGGAGACATTCCCAGAAGCATCAGGTCCTGGGGAACAGGGGACATTATATGGCAGGGCACTACAGGACCTCTTCTTCATAAGGCCATTACCCTCAAGAACAGGAGACATAGCTAATGTTCCTAACACAGAGAAACAGGCACAGAGATGTAGACAAAACGAGAAGACAGAGAAATTTATCTCAAATGAAAGAACAGGACAAGGCCACAGCCAGAGAGCTAAGTGAAACAGATATAAGTAATCTGCCTTGGTACAGAATTTAAAGCATTGATCATAAGGATACTCACTGGACCTGAGAAGAGTAGAAGACATGAGTGAGACCCTTAACACAAAGGTAAGGAACAATATAGCAGAGATAAAGGGCACAATAAAGAAAATGAGAAACATGCTTCATGGAATGAACAGAGGTTGGAAGAAGGAGAGGAATGAATTTGTAACCCAGAAGACAGAATGATGTAAAGTAATCAAACTGAACATGAGATAAAAAAGAATTATGCAAAACAAGAATAGAGTTAGGGAACTCAGTGACTCCATAAAACATAATAACATTCATATTATAGAAATCCCAGGAGAAGGAGAGAAAAGGGGTCAGAAAATTTATTTGAAGAAATAATAGCTGAAAACTTCCCTAATCTGGGGAAAGAAACAGATATCCAGATCCAGGAGACACAGAGAACTCCCAACAAAATCAACAAAAGCAGACACACACCAAGACATACTGTAATTAAATTGGGAAAATATAGTGATAAAGAAAAAATTTTTAAACCAGCAAGACAAAAGAAGAAAGTAACTTACCAGGGAAAATCGATAAGGCTAACAGGAGATTTTTCAACAGAAACATTCCAAGCCAGATGGAAGTGGTACGATACACTCAAAGTGCTGAATGGGAAAAATCTGCAGTTGAGAATACCCTATCCAGCAAGGTTATCATTCAGAAAAGGAGAAGAGATAAAGAGTTTCCCAGACAAGCAAAAACTAAGAAGTTCATGATCACTAAACCAGCCCTGCAAGAAATATTAAAGGGGACAGTTTGGGTGGAAAGGAAAGACCAAAAGTGATAGTATAAAGGTAGGAATCACAAAAGCAGTAAAAATGAATATTTCTGTAAAAAAAAACAGTCAAGGAATTCACAAAAGTATGTGAAATATAACAACATATATTGAAAATGTGGGGGAGGAGGAGAGTAAAGAATGGGTTCAAACTTTAATGACCATGAACTTAATATAGACTGTTACATGAAGAAGAGGTTTTATATAAACCTGATGGAAACCACAATCAAAAACCACTAATAAATATACAAAGAATAAAGAGAAAGAAATCCAAACATATCACTAAAGAAAATCAGCAAACCCTGAAAAAGAGAAAGGAAAGAATCAGAGAAAATCTGACTGCAAAACTCATTTCCATAACCCAGAGTGTATAAGATTCTCATAGAAAACAAACCCTCTGAAAATAACCTCAAGGTAAAAGGTATAAACCACACACACACACACACACACACACGCAAAACACTCTGGAATAGATACATAAAAATGGAGAAAGTTCATACTATTGAAAGCTAGAAATGAGAACCATCTGAAAGACTAGTAAATCCATATTTAAAGTATTCAAAGGGATAACAAGGAATTGAAATAAAAAACAATTATATAGCATTCAGAAATTGAAAAACCTCTCAGTAAAATGTCTTGAAATGAAAAAATAGGATCTAAAAATAAAAATTCAATAGCAGTTTCAATAGAAGACCAGACACAGTTGAGAAAATTACAGAATCAGTGATTTGGAATAGGAATAATGCAGAATGCGGTGCCTAAAAATGAAGATATGGAAAATAAAGAGTTAAGAGACATAGAGGATAGACTGAAACAGTTTATCATACTGCATATATCATATCGTATAATAGGAGTTCCAAAAAGGGAATAAAATGAATTGGACATAATACTGAAAGAGATGATTATGGAGAATTCTTCACAATTGAAGACATGAATACTCAGATATGTGTATCTGAGTAATGGTGAACAAATGAACTATATAATATGCTAATAAATTTAAATAAGCATTGACAAAACTTTTCAATAATGTTTTTTTTTAAAACAAAATAAAATTAAAAAGCTAGCCATAAAGAGTGGAAAATGAAGGGGGATTTGGGTTTGAAATTGTTTAAGGTCCTTATAAGCATTCAGGATAGGGATACTGGATTAACTTTAGCCTACATTAAATATGCATGTAAAATGTAAGACTATCCATTAAAGTAATAGAAATAAATATGTAATTTCTGAAATTTCTAAAAAGTAGAGTTCTGGAAGAAGAAATTTTAAAATGCTAACAGTTTAGTAGAAGGTAATGAAACACGAAATAAGGAAAAATTAAGCATAGAATATAGGGACACAAAAATAAGATTTTTAAAATCATTTAAATTAAATTAGTAATCAAAATTGTGATTGGATTAAATTCACCCATTAAATGACAGAAACTCCACAAATCTGATTTTAATAAAAGTTACATAGTTAAAACAAAGAGTAACAAAAAATTTGGAAAGAAAATGATGCAAACAGGCTAATACTTTCAAAAGGAAACTGGGGAGGGGCCCCCGGTGGCTCAATTGGTTGGGCGTCTGCCTTCGTTTCCAGTCATGATCTCAGGATTGAGTTCCACGTCAGGCTGTCTGCTCAGGGGGGGTGCCTGCTTCTACCTCTTGCTCTGCCTGCTTATCCCCCTGCTTGTGCTCTCTCTCTCTGTATCAAATAAATAAATAAAATGTTTTCTAAAAAAGGAAACTGGAGTGATGATATGAATGTCAAAAGATACGTGAAGCCCAAAAACTTTCAAAGACATGAAGAGGGAAATTATTTCATGATAATAAAAAAATCTATGAAGAGGGTAATAATATCATCTGTGCTTAACAATGTAGTCTCACCTGATCATAAAGAAAATAGGTATTTCCCCCAATTCATTTTCTGAATCCAACACTACTTTAAAACCAAAAGCAGGCAAACAGAAAGTTAGGAAGGGAGGGAGGGAAGAAAGTGTAGACAAATATCCTTGTATATATAGGTGCAAAAATTCTACACAAATATTAGCAAATGGAATCCAGCAATATATTAAAAGAATATATTGAAAAGGACCAGTATCTTCCAGAATGCAACATTGGTTCAATACCAAGAAAGCTGACAACAATATCCATTCTATCAACACAATAAAGATGAAAATAAATGATCACATAGTAAATTTAAAAATTGAATAGACATTCCTAATGAAAACACCAAACAAAATAAGTTTAGAAGGGAACCACTTGATTTTAATAAAAAACATTGACTTTTCAAATAACTATAAATAATTATTATAAATTATAAAATACTTCTGATTCAACTAAAATCAGGAACTGGACAGATGTGCTCAGTATCATCATTATTATTTAACATTGTCTTGAACATAATAGTGTAAGTAATAAGACACAAAAAAATGTACAATATTACAAATTTATAATAGCAATAAAGACTATAAAATACGAATAAATTTAACAAGAAAGACACAGAACCTGTAGCAAGAGCCACTCTCAAATTTTGTTGAATGAGGGACACTGGGTGATGTATGGAACTATTGAATATCTATATCGTACGCCTGTAGAATGTTATTCAGGCCTTATAAGAGTTGACACTGCAGAATTTCAATGATGTATATACTTGCATGAGAAAAAGAGAATATGGGAAGTGTGTATAATATGAACCAATTTTGTTTTTAAAACCCTTAAAATGTCTTTTTAAAAAATAAATAAATGTAAATATGTATTTGTGTACATGTCTGCAAACATATAGTGTGGAGAAAAATAAGGAAGGATACATACTAGTTGTTTAAATCAAGTTACATAGATTGAGAGAGGCTTAATAGGTGAAGGGAATATAAAGGTGAAATAAAACCCTGCTATAAAAAGCATGGAAGGAAGGAAGGAAAGAAGGGAGGGAGGGCAGAAATATATAGGGACAATATAGAATTAAGGCAAACAGGTGAAATAGGATAAGTAGGAATGTCATATAATTATAAAAGGAATAAAATCTTCATATATGTGTATATGTGTGTGTGTAAAACCACCTAACCAAAACACAGATCAAGATACAAAACATATAGATGTAGAAGTTCTTAAAGGACTTCCCCAAATTAATAAATAAAAGACTAACAACCCAATAAAAAAATGGAAAATAGGTAAAGGAAATGAACAAATAGTTCACAAGACAGGAAATACAAGTGGAACTTGAACATATGGAAAGATGCTCAATCTTTTTTTATAATAAAAGAGAGTCAGGTTAAAACTGCATCAAAGTACCATTTTTCACCCATCAGACTGGCAAATTATAAATGTGACAATACACTATGTTGGGAAGGCTGTGAGGAAAGAAGAAATCTCATACACTGCTGGCGTGACAGTATATTAGTGGAGCTGCTATGAGAACAACTTAGCAGTATCTATGAAAATTACAAATGCATATACTTTATGCCTCAACAGTTACACTTTTAGGTATAGTCCAAGGTACAAAATAACTATAGCATTGATCATAATGGCAAAGGATTGAGAACGAATGTTTATTAGTAAGTTACTAGTTACTTATGATTCCTCCATAATTTGGAATAATAAGCAGTAGAAAAATTAATGAGAATATGTAAATATCTCTAAAATATAACTTTAAGTGAAGAATATAATGTTTGAAAAGTGTATTTAGCATACTTACATTTATATAAAAAGAAAAAATAACATCTTAGTTATGTACAAAAATTTTACAGAAATATAAAGAAAACTTACTAGTAGTAGATACTTGTGGGGTGCAGATGGAGTACAGAGTGGGAGAGACAATTTTCACTTTATTTTTAATATAATTTTTTAACTATGTGAATAAATTGTCTATTCCAGAAAAAAATTAACAAGAAAGAAAAAAAATTAGATCTGCATCTATTGAAATGGCCATGGCGTCTAAGTAACAAAGGCGAGTTAGGAATAACATGTATTATGTGATTTCATTTTTGTAAAAAGTGCAGGGGTGAGGGGTTGCTGTGTCTAATTATGATTGTAGAGAAAGAGACATACACATTCATACAGAGTTTTAAAATTAGTTACCGCAGGAGTGTAGATGGATCTTAACTCTTCCTTCATAGGTCTTTGGTCTATTTCACTTGTTAAAAACACATAACACTTTTGATATTTTTAATGGGATAATCAAAATTTTTTAAATAAATAAAAAATTTTTATGGTTGTGTTTTGCCACAACTAAAAATGAAATTTGTCCAAAATGTAAAGAAATGCAAACACTTTTTATTTTGTAGGTTGTTGTTATATGGGTATATGATCCAGAAAACGCAGACCCCAATGAGTTGCTGTGGAATGCAAATGAACCTTCACTAGTAGGTGGAAACATTACTATTCTCACAAAATAATATGCTGTTTCCTTTTTAAGGGCTCTGAATAATATATTTTAAGCATTCCAGAACTAACTAAATACACCTTAATTGTCCATTTTCTTTAGCCATTGTAGTGATTTTGAGCTACTGCTCAATCTCCACAATTATAAATCTTTCTCTTGAATTCTACTGAGCATTGTCTGTAATTTCTATGAACTGCATTATTCATGAAGATGCTAACCTTCAAAGTGCTTTAAAGATATTCTTTGTGCATCTGTCGTAAAACCATCCTTCAAAAATCTGTCCAGTCCCTTACTGAATCCTTTACCACTTGGAGACTAGTGAATCTCCTAAAGGTGCAGCGCCCCGGATAAATACAGATGGTTTTCTTTTCTTTTCTTTTTAAATTTTATTTATTTATTTGACAGAGAGAGACACAGCGAGAGAGGGAACACAGGCAGGCGGAGTGGGAGAGGGAGAAGCAGGCCTCCTGCCGAGCAGGGAGCCCGATGCGGGGCTTGATCCCATGACTCTGGGATCATGACCTGAGCCGAAAGCAGACGCTCAACGACTGAGCCACCCAGGCGCCCCAATACAGATGGCTTTCAATTTATGGTGGCTTGACTGACGGTTTTTCAACTTTACCATAGTGCAAAAGTGATCTGCATTCTATAGAAATTGTACTCTGGGGGCGCCTGGGTGGCTCAGTCGTTGCGCATCTGCCTTCGGCTCAGGTCATGATCCCACGGTCTAGGGATCGAGCCTCGCATCGGGCTCCGCAGGAAGCCTGCTTGTGTTCCCTCTCTCACTGTGTCTCTCTCTGCCAAATAAATAAAATCTTTTAAAAAAAATAAAAAAAATAAAATGTATTAAAAAAAAAAGAAATTGTACTCTGAACTTGGGTCTTTTTTTTCCCTAGACTAGCGTACTAGCAATATGTGGTATGATACCATCGCATGACGCTAGGTGGCAGCAGTGATCACAAGAGTAAATCCGTACACTTATAAACTCTTCTGAACCCATACAACCATTGTTTTAACTTTCAGTACAGTATTCAATGATTCACAGGAGATATTTAACACTTTATCATAAAACAGACCTTGTGTTAAATGATTTTGCATAACTGTAGGGTAATGTAAGTGTTTTGAGCACATTTAAGGTAGGCAAGGCTAAGCTATGATGTTTGGTAAGTTAGGCGCTTTGAATGCATTTTTGACATATCCCATTATAATTCAAGGAATATTTGTAAGTCTTTTATTTGTTACAAATTTACCTCTTTCAAGATTTAAGTTCTGTCTTCTGTTACAATTAAAGTGTATTGAAGAGAAATATAAAATGAGCAGTTTAAATCTCATATGACTAACGAGTCAGGATCTGATTTTTGAATAGCATGTTACCTGCCTCTTGGTAATGAAATTCACAAGAGATGGACTGATAAAGCAGAATGACAACCTATAATTAATTGTTTTATTTGGCAAGTGGCTTTAGAGGGAATAAAATTAATCAATTGTAATTAAAAACTTTAAGCATTACTGTTAATTTCTAATCTTTCTAAGTGAAAATATGTGCATTTTAACATTATTTTGTCCATGCATACCTAATACTTTGCTTTTTTTAAATTTCATGTTTATTCACTACCATGTCATTCTCATAAAACCTTTCTATGGCTCTTGGTTACCAACAGCAGACTCTTGACTCTTAACATGACACACAAAGCCTTGGAATATTCTGTCTCTGCCACCCTTCTCTGGCCTCAGCTCTCCACGCGTCCTACCTCCAGCAACAGCACTCTGCTGTTTCCTTGCACACACCTGCTGTTCCATGGCTCTGAGTCTTTGCTTATGCTGTTCCCTCTATGGTAACTGCTCATTCCCTATGTTCATCTTCTCATATTTTCCGTCTCAAGTCAGGTAACTGCCCTCTAAGATGCTTGCCTTGACCAAATCAGGATTTTTTCATATGAGTAGTTTGAGGGCATTATTTTAATGCTACAGTTTTGATAAATCATCAACAAAACAGCTCTGGTAAAATAAATATAAATTCTCTGCGTTTTTATCAGCCAACATGTAATGTGACTGACGGGCATTCAAATCATAATCCCACCCTTTACTCTTCATTCTCTTCCTGGACCACCTCTGACTTTGAACTCTAGATATTCCCTTATCTTTAACTCATTCCTGTATTTTATTACCTCTTTGAACCTCAGCCCATCCCTGCCTCTCATTAACTTCCTCTATGAGCCTTACTCTATGCCCAACACCCACACCAGGGAAAAGAGGACCAACAGTTGGGTATAGCTCAGGGGTGGGGTACAGAATAACTTATTGGTACAATTTAGTTAAAAGGTATTAAAAAGGTCAGGGTTTTATTTTGAGGTTTTTTTCTTGACCATTTTAACTGTGAATTATATCATGAAGAAAAAAGCATAAAAGTTGAGTATACAGTTTAATGAATAATAATTAGCCATATGACCACTATCAAGAAGTAAAACACCAACAATAGTACAGAAGGTCCCCATATGTGCCACCTGCATGGACATAATTTCTCCCTCCACCTTAGAAGTACTTGATGGATATAATCCCTTTGTTCCCTCTAAAGGTAACCATTATTCTGAATTTTACAGTAATAATTGCTCTGCTTTTATTTTTATTTTGCCTCCTGATTCCTAAACAATGCTGTTTAGAAGGTTTTGGGTTTGTGTTTATTTTCTGCTTTATATAAATGGAATCATGTTTTATATACATTGTGCATATTCCTTTTTGGGGGATCTACTGTATATAAGATTTGTTTGTGTTATAATGTACCTATAGTTTATTCATTTTTGTTCCTGTATGACATTTCATCATTTCAACACACTATACATTTTTTATCCATTCTGCCATTGATGAATTTTGGGTTGATTTATGTTTTGTTTTGTTTTGTTTGTAATGAGTGTTGGTTTCTTTTTTTGTTCAGCTTTATTGAGATGCAAATGATATATAATATTGTATAAGTTTAGATGTACACTGCTGATTTGATATACTTATATATTATGAAATGGTTACCACAGTAGCATTTTTTAACACCATTATCACCTCACATAATTACCATTTCTTTTCTGTGGTAGGGTTATTTAAGATTTATCCTCTTGTGAACTTTCAAGTATTTAATACTGCATCGTTAACTATTCACCATCCTATTCATTCGATTCCCAGAATTAATTCATCTTATAACTGGAAGTTTGTACCCTTTGGCCACCATGTCCCCATTTTGCTCACCCCCTCAGACCCTGCAAACACCATTATACTCTGTTTCTATGAGTTCAGCTTCTTTTAGATTCCACAAACAAGCATATCATACAGTATTTGTCTTTCTTTGTCTGACTTACTTCACTTAGCATAATGCAAGGTCCATCCATGTTGTTGCAAATGGAGACATTTCCTTCTTTTTATGGTCAAATAATATTCCATTGTATATCAATACCACAGCTTCTTTGTCCTTTCATCCTCTGATAGACAGATTGCTTCTATATCTTGGCTATTATAAATAATGCTGCAATAAACATAGGGGTGCATGGATCTTTTTGGATTACTGTTTCCATTTTCTTTGGATAAATATCGAGTAGTGGAATTATTGCATCATACAGTATTTCTATTTTTAATTTTTTGAGGAACCTCCATACTGTTTTCCACAGTGGCTGCAGCAATGGACATTTATATTTTCACCAACAGTGCACAAGAGTTCCTGTTTCTCCACATCCTCATGAACACTTATTATCTTTTTTATTTTAGCCATTCTGACAGGTGTAAGGTGAGGCATCTTTTCATGTACCTGCTGGCTATCTGTATACCTTCTTTGGGAAAAAGTCTATTCAGATCTTCTGCCCACTTTTAATTGGATTGCTAGTTTTTTTGCTATTGAGTTGTATGCGTTTTTGTACATTTTGGATATTACCCCCTTAACAGATACGTGATTTGCAAATATTTTCTCCCACTCTGTAGGTTGCATTTTCATTTTGTTTTTCATTTTGATTTCCTTTGCTGTGCACATATGATTTCTTTTTTTGGATTTTATTTTTATTTTATTTTATTTTATTATGTTATGTTAGTCACCATACAGTACCTCATTGGTTTTTGATATAGTGTTCCATGATTCATTGTTTTCGTATAACACCCAGTACTCCATGCAGTATGTGCCCTCCTTAATACCCATCATTGGGCTAACCCATCCCCCCACCCTCATCTCCTCTAAAACCCTCAGATTGTTTCTCGGAGTCCATAGTCTCTCATGGTCGTCTCCCCCTCCGATTTCCCCCCCTTCATTTTTCCCTTCCTTCTCCTAATATCCTCCGTGCTATTCCTTATGTTCCACAAATAAGTGAAACCATATGATAATTGACTTTCTCTGCTTGACTTATTTCACTTAGCATAATATCTTTAATATCCATCACCCTGTTACCTCATCCCCCACCCCCCTCCCTTCTGTAACCCTCAGTTTGTTTCCCAGAGCCCAGAGTTTTTCATGGTTTGTCTCCCTCTCTGATTTCTTCCCATTCAGTTTTCCCTCCCTTCCCCTGTGGTGCTCCGCACTATTCTTTATGTTCCACATATGAGTGAAACCATATGATAATTGTCTTTCTCTGCTTGACTTATTTCACTTGGCATAATCCCCTTCAGTCCCATCCATGTTAATGTAAAAGTTGGGTATTCATCCTTTCTGATGGCTGAGTAATATTCCATTGTATATATGGACCACATCTTCTTTATCCGTTCATCTGTTGAAGGGCATCTCGGCCTTTCCACAGTTTGGCTATTGCAGACATTGCTGCTATAAACATTGGGGTGCGTATGGCCCTTTTTTTCACTACATCTGTGTCTTTGGGGTAAATACCCATGAGTGCAATGTAGCTCTATTTTTAATTTTTTTGAGGCACCTCCACACTATTTTCCAAAGTGTCTGTACCAACTTGCATTCCCACCAAGAGTGTAAGAGGGTTCCCCTTTCTCCACAACTTCTCCAACATT